ACTATTTTTGTTGACCTTTGTCCATGGAAGGTCCCTGCAAAATTTCATTGAAATTGGTTCAGGGGTTTTGGAGAAGAAGTCGAAAATGTAAATTGTTTACGGACGCACGACAGACGACGACGGACAAAAGGCGATCGCAATATAGGTCACTTGAGACTTTGTCTCAGGTGACCTAAAAATTCCCAATGAAGATTTCATTGCTTGTCTTTCTAATTGATTTAAAATCAGATACAAATTTAAGGTTTCCAGGGGAGCTAACTCTTCACAATATTATGAGTGTGTAATTACTATGAGAATGATTTAAAGTGGATCCTGATTTTAACAGCTGACAACAATACATAAACAATTTTATCAATTCCTGATTTTGAAAATGTTTGACAATGTATTACCAAAAAATTAAATATAATAAAATATAAATAATAATAATAGTCACCATAGCAACAAATCCAATCAGTGACTTTCTCTCTGAATATATTTTAAATAAGACTGGTTAAAGAATTATGACGTTATGTTGGTTTTAAGTCAAATGAAGGATTCACTTTAAATCATTCTTCAAAATATTCTGAAAGATAATCTTTAACACATCATCAGTGTGTCTGACTTGCTCATAACATGGTCATCCATTTGTCCGACTCTGTCCGATTCCTCTCTCTGTCTCTCTCTCTCCCTCTTGGTACTGTGACTACACATTACATCATGCATTTAATCTGATTAAATGAATTTAAAATTTATAACAGTCACTTGAAAATAAACTATAGTAAAGAGGCTGATTAACTTTATATGGTGAAACACAAAAAAATATTATAAATGGATATTCTTTCATCAATTTTTTGTAAATTAATGATTTTAACTAAAATATTCCAGCTATGTTTGTGAAAATACATATTTTTTGACATTAGTCTAACTTTCTGATCTATGGCAAACACGCCTCTTCTTTTTTTTTATTGGTCAATTTTGATGAAAAATATCATTATTATTGAAAATATTATAATTACTTTATCAAAGAATCTTCTATTCAGCATAAAATAAATGTGAAAAACAATGTACATTTTTTTCAATCAATTATGACTTCATCATGCACACATGAAAACCACTATCCACAATAGGTTTTGATAAGATAGTATATAATCTTTTCATTAAATCTCAATAAATATATGATGTAAAATACGGTCCAGTCGGCAGCCATATCGCTTTTTTTTCTAAAATTGGATTTATTTTCATATTTTCTTCTGCATATAGATGACCTTTCAGAACAGAAACACAATATTAACAACAATTTAGCAACTTTTATCTAAAAAACTATGTACACAAGTGTAAATCAAAATGTTTAACGACAATTTCTTCTTACACTTCATAACTTTGATTAATTTGCCAATTAATTGCTCAGACAAGGCAAAATAAGAAAAAAATGAAAATTCCTTCAATAAATTTGAAATGGTCTATAATCCCAATATCACAGATTAGGGTTCATCATTTTCAAATAAATATATAAAATAATAATCTATATTGTAACAATTACCTGAAAGGAGGTAATAGGATTAATATTCAGCACCTTAAGGAACTTCTTTCTGATTTATAAAATATTTCTCTTTCAAGATTATGAAAAAGGGATTTAATTCGGGAATATATCATTGATACAAGTTAGTTTTTGCAGAAATATCAAATAATAAATTTTGGATGTGAAAATTCATTAAATCCTAGTTCTTTGTGCTGTTGTGCATGTCTGTGAATGATTAACTAGACCAATTTGTCCCCAGCTACAGAGATCGTAATCTGGTTACCACAAATCTTCACAAGCAATTACCAGCTCGGACGACCAAAAATACAAATTTCTCTTTTATCAGAAATCATACAGCAAACTGATATTTTCTCTGACAAATTACATAATAAATTTAGTTTTTATTAACAATTTTTTTGAAACTGTCATCACCATATTTTTTAAAGAAGAACTAAAAGAAAGTATTAAATCCGGTAATCTGATATTCCCTGTTCTTTTTGATGATCTAAGAAATGCTATTACTTCCATCCATACACCTTCTGGATACAAATTATAACACCATATTGTCAAAATATCTTGTAATTTTTCTCCTCAATGTTAAATATTCTGGTGAATTATTCATAATGAATTTTTTTTTTTTTTTTTTTTTGCATTTTGATGCAGAAAGTCAAAAATAACATAATAACCTTTTTATATATATGTCATTGGTTTGAATTTCTTGAGGGAAGAAATCTTAACGGTACCATATAGAGATATTTACTGTCTGCCCGCATCTCTCTCTCGCCTCTCAAACCAACGCACTCAGGAAATCACTATCAGAAGATCAATAAGAAAAGGCTTCCAGCAGGATGTGAACATTGTTGGAAAAACGGCCCGACCACTGAAAGGTTGTGTGCCATTTTGCACACAATTTGTCTTAAAGTGTTAGAGATGCACTTTTACTTTATTCAATAAATATCCACAATATAAGACAAATAGGTCCCCTGTGGATAACTTAGCTCCACAAAAAATCTAACGTGGAATAGCTATAATCTCGAAATCTTAAAACCCATGTATCAATATATTTTTTATCAGCGGAAGGAAAAAAATATACATGGAGGAGTATTAACTTTATTTTCTGAATTTTACCATCAAATGGTGCCTAAGAATGCAATAGAAAATGTTAGAATAAGTCTTTTAACAAAAAATTCACTGAGCTCAAAATAATATCCAGTTTAAATGCAACCTTTTTTTTTCTTTGAACGATTGTGAAGTAGTTGTAATGTAATTCATAAAATTTCACTTCAATTATGTAAATCAGTTTTGTAAAATTACATGATTATATTTTTTCCCCCAGCTCAATGTAATAATCAAGTTTTGTAAATTTGAGCTCAGTTCACAAAGGTTTAGCAGAAACTGCCATTCTATGTACACAGCAATCAACATTCTCTCCATAATTCCCGGTTTGCAGAGGAAAAAAATAGTAAGTATTAATATGTATGTTACAATGACAATGAATACATATATGCTTCTCCATTCATAGGAGACTTCCTTCCATCGTTGTATTCTACAATGTCATCATTACCATGCCATAGCCTTAGTGACTATGTACAATTTCAAAAATCTTCAGGAATTTCCTTTTTTTTCTTTTAAATTATTTGGGATGTTTTCTTAGGGGATCTTGATTGTTTATAACATTTTGAAAGAGACAGCGGTTCTATACGATAATTTGTCTTGTAATGTTTGAAAGCAGACCATTACTTCATATCACCCCCAATACAAGGCCTAGATATCATGTGATATATTTTTACCTGTCGGGTTTTTATGCACAATAGGCCCTTCGTTGATCTGTAGGGTAGCGTTGGCTCCTGATCGTGTGAATCGAATCACATGGTAATTTCCGTTGTTGTGTTTCCGCAGTAACTGTCCCAGAGGATGGTTATCAGTCCCCATGTTGTACACCACAAATACGTTTCCGTCAACCTACAAAAGCCGTAATGATCGGTAAAAAAATAAACAACCACAAAGAAGCAAGACAACTCTCCCTCTTTTTCATATATCTATACATTACAGTACACATGACAACAAAATGGTTGACCTATGAGGTTGAACTTTGGTGGCGTGTGGGTATATTCTTAGAGCAACATACTAAATTAGTTGTTGAAAAACACCAATTAAATTTGAACATACAACTGGACTGAATTTTGAAATTGAAAGAAACTGGATCTAGCAGAAATGGCTGATATCTCCTCTATTTTTTATCTTGACAATCAACTATTTTTATTCTTCGACTTATAAACAATATATCACATTATATTAACAATGCTGGCTCACATATTATAGAGTATCTCACTTCTTGTGTCGTTTTTCAACATCATATTTCCTGTTTTGGAAGCATTTTTGGATATCTGAAGCATTACATTAAACATTATATCAGACCTCGAGTCCAACAATAATTCACCATATTGAGTTAACAAACCATCACATCCTTATTGTTAGGGCACTCGAGGTACACAAATAACTTGAGATGTCGACTTAAAATGCACTAAACTGACATTAATCTCCACAATAAATAAGAGAGCATGGATTATGACATAGCTGTGTTACCAGTTGAACTTCGATGTAGTCTTCGTTAGTGATGCTCTCCACACGGACCAATAATGCGTTTCGCTGCATGGTGCGGAACCCTAGGGCCATCTGGTCGTACTTGGTGTTGGTGCGCTTGCTTTCAGGGTAGTTGTAGATTAGTATTCCTGGCGTGCCCAGACCGAATGTGTAGGAAACACTCGCTGTTGCAAATAAAAGTTGAACAGTTACCAAAACATCAGTCAATCTATTTCTGTTGTAAGTAAAAGTCAAAGTTGGCAAATCATGACAAATTCAAACTCAATTTAATAATATTCCAATATTTTTTACAACTGTGTTAAGTTTTTACCAGACATTATTGGTAAAAAAAAATAAAAAAATAAAAAAAATAATAATAAGAGAACAGTCACAAGCAGAAACAAACAACCTTTTTTGCGATCAAATGAATTTGAAATCACTAAACCAGTGTCACTATTTGATCTGTGAAAAATCTTTACCAAACCTGGTATGTCCTTGACATTAACTAGGTATAACATTATCTTGACATTAACTAGGTATGACATGTCCTTGACATTGCCTGGCGATGACATATCCTTGACATTAACTAGGTACAACATGATCTTGATATTGCCAAGGTATGACATGACCTTTACATTACCTATATATGAAATAAATTTGACATTACTTCAGTATTTTATGACCTAGATATTACTAAGGTATAACCTTAACATAACCTAAGCATAATATGACCTTGACACTGCCTAGGTATCACATGATCTTAACATTACCTTAATTTGACATGACCTTGACATTACTTAGTTATGATATGACCTTGATATGACGTAGGTATGGCATGACCTTGACATTACCTAGGTATGATAGGACCTTGATATGACATAGTTATGACATGACCTTGACATTACTTAATTATGATATGACCTTGATATGACGTAGTTATGACATGACCTTGACATTACTTAGTTATGATAGGACCTTGATATGACGTAGTTATGACATGACCTTGACATTACCTAGGTAGGATATAGGACCTTGACATTTCCTAGTTATAACATGACTTTGACGTTAAATAAGTAAGACATGACCTAAATACCACCTGAGTATGACATTGACCTATCTAACCTACCATCTGTACACATAGGACCCGTGTAGGAGGTCATGTCACAGTCACATGTGTAGGAGTTCCACTGCTGCACACACCGACCCTCATTCAGACATGCATACTGGTGGCAGTTGTTGCTTGGCCCTGGAACAAAGAAGATGGTTAGACATTCTACCTAAACATAAATCGTGTGAATATTTCAACAAGGCAGACAATGAAGGAGACATGAAAGACATGTGCATTAAAAAAAATCGAAAAGAAAAAAAAATCACCAATACATTGAAATTAACAACAGGTAGTTAATGAAGATATGTATTATCAGCACAAGTCAATGTCACAAGGTGTCTAGCCAAACGTCACATCTGTCTGATCTATACATTAGTCAAACTTCATAAGGCAACATGTTATATACAACAACTAATATACTGTTACAATAATGAAATGATGGTATTATTTGAATGAAGAGAAAAGCGAAGGTGATAAACGTTATGGTGCATTGTTGATCTCGAATTATATCTAGAGGTCATTGTTAAAACAAATCTGGGTACAAACACACACAGCAGGTGAGGAAATAAGAAATGATGGTGTTTGTGCAAAAATGGTCGAGATCATCCTAAATTTGTCCTAAAAAGTTCAGTGATTGAGGAGCTTCAAGATCAGCTGATTGAGTTTCATAGTTTGTTTATGTACTTATCTACCAATATGAATAATAAATTTCAAAATGGTTTTACCAAGCCTTAAGTTGACAATGGTTTAGTTCTTCAAAGAATGAATGTTTTTATTCAAATCTGAAGAGAATATCACAGTAAAATATGCTTTAACAAGCTCGATATAACAGGATAGAGACCTCTAATGATTGCTATTGTTGGTCTGCCGAGCCTTTAGCTCGTGTATGGCGTCTATCAGTTCACGTCCATACATCACATTTGTCACACAGACAGTTGGCCAATCAGAATGATAAATTATCGCAAGTACTGTTAAGTAAATATTTTTGTCGCTATACAACAGAACATTTTTATTAGATTTGACGATTCCAGAAAAACAATTACATTGTCTGTCAATCACATGACAACTGTCTGTGTCGCGTCTGAGTTTTCGTGTACAGACATTGCGCACAGCTTACACTGTTGATTACTGTGAGAATGATTGTGGCTGTAATTGTTCCCTCATCAATAAGAACAAAAGTGGACATTCCGCAGTAGACAATAGATGATGTGGCCAAGTCCTAGTTAATGCTTCCCCTTATATGGTCGGAGCTGTTTGACCATTACCATTTCCTTAACAACCATATACAACCTAATGAGTTTTACCAGTTCAGCATGGTCTGTTTGCTTTCCCTTACTTAGTCAGAATGTTTGACCCTTAATAATTCCATTACCAAACCGACAAGACGGGAATGGTCTGATCAGATTTTTTTTCGTTGTCTGATCTAGTAACAAGACATTTTCCAGACATGGATAAGTAAAATTAATTTACTTTTGTCTAGAACACTGATGGCTTTCATTCATTCATTCAACAGTAATTGTACTATTACCCAATGGAGCAATGCTTCGATGATAGTGCTTTAATCACATTCTCTAGAAGGATTTAACAAATGTTTACCAGACACGGACAAGAATTGTATAAGTATGTCCAGCTAATACTACTTCCTACAAGGATTTACTTTTTTCGCCTTTGACATTTCCGTAATGGTAGAATCCCACTGTTGAAGCCGCATTAAGGAAAGCATGTCCTATTTATCCCTGTCTGACATAAGAGACTGGGAGGGGGTGTTGGAGGTGACAATTCTATGTAACAATCCTGTTATCACTCATCCTTAGTATAGCAGTCTCTCCTTATACACCAAAAATACTGTAACCCTCCTTCCCCTACCACAAATAAAACAATCCCTTTCTCTTATATCATAGCAACCACAAGTACAATTAATAGTTACTTCTGTCCTATACCACATATCCAGCAGTATATCTATCTTTACCACAAGTACAGTAATTCCCCCTTCCGATACCACAAACATTGTCGTTCCTCTTTTCAACACCCCAAATACAATAATCCCTTCCTCCTTATCAGAAATATTACAAATACAGACTCTCCTTCCCGTTCTATTTAATAGAGTATTTCACTAGAAATAGCTACGAAAGAATGTTGAACCACCATCCCCAGTGGTACAAGATCACAACTGATTCTGACGTAAGAAAGCCATCCAGTAAAGTTCAAGGTTGTTTGCAATTTAAACTTTGTGACGATACTAATTGAAGAGTAAAGAAAACGTGACCTGTATAATGATACGTTTGTGTAATGACCTTACTTCACTACTTTAGTGATGAATCTGAAGAGTTAAAACCAGTAACAAATTACGTATAATTGGAAGGAATAACGGAGACAAATTTAAATTCCGTCAACATAAATCTCCAATCCAATACAGCAGTGAAGTTCAGATCAACTACATGCAAAGTGCCCATGTTAGTTTTGCAACTTACAAATCACTTAAAAACAAATTTAATTTAGAAAACAATTGAAATCTACGTGGATGAGGTTGTATATTTCCATTAGCAAATAACCTTTGTCTTCATCACCCACGAGAACAGAAGAAAACAGGGGAAAGGTCGGAGAAGGTCGTCAGCAATAGTCCAATACAAAATGTCACTGTCACATGTTTATCAGGGGAGTTACAGGCGTGGCCACTGATGGAGTATTGGCCACGATAGAACCTAAAACTTGCTTCACATTGTATTTCTACAGAACAATACCAGGTTAAAGAATAATGGCCATCAACAATTGGGCAAAATGTTTTTCTTGTCTGATATATCGTCAGCTGTATTTTGTTAAATCTAAATATCTTTCTGGTACCATACTTCTATTAACAAATACTTTTGTAATTTGAACAAACATGTAATGACTAATGATAAACACACTTATCTGTAATTCTTTATACATCTATAATTATTTTTATGTTTTTTAAACTGCTGTTCTCTATTAATACAAGATTTTTCCGAACTAACATATTTGATTAATATTGTAAAAACATGTAATAGAATTATTTTTCATTTTTTCAACATTGGCTATTTAGGCACGATATGTTGCAACAGCGTAGCACAATCAATGTTAAGATTTTGCTGTACAATTTGCTGACTTTGGCAACTGAAAGCATACCAAAACACATCACTCTGGCCAATGTACAGCACTATGAAAAACTACCAATGTACGTGTCTAAGTTGGAACAGAGTATCAAAAACCATATTAGCGAAACCATGAACAGCTGAATTAGGGTTAGTAAGACTTGTTAATACTGACAAATATACTAACTATTTATAAAGGCAACATTAACAATTACTAAAAAACCCACTAGTAATGTTAGTTTCAGGGAGTGACCTAGCTGATACAGTAAACAAATTTACCTCTTACGGCACATGTCATGCATAAACTTGGTCTAAATAAAATGTTTATATGTTGTCTGTTTAATTATGTAGCAAGTTAGCCTGTACTTCAGAACTGAACTCTACACTCCTCGCAAGTTCCGTGACAGAGATAAGATGAAGAAATAACGGAAGCAGACGGTCGGGACGGGATCAGGGCGGGATCGAAAGGTGTCGGAAATACAAGTCAATACATGTTGGATTCTCTCCAAACTTCTCGGCTCCGAGCGATCAGTAACAAAGAGGACACCTCGAGGATTACAGATAACTGCTACAGCTCCACCACCGTATCTATGGTGACAGAGGAAAATCACAGACACACAAGGTGTAGGAAACTTACTCACAGGAAATTCTCTCAAAAGTGTAGATATAGTAGCTTGAATATTTCTTTAACTTCAATCAGGGAATATTATTAGTGAAGTACATAATAAATGACAAATATCATCTGTATTTATTTTTACCAATACACAATTTGTAACTGTACAGTACCTGGTAAGTATTTTCCAATCCTGTAACCAGTATGTAAATGAAAGTATGTCTTTGCTCTTAAACATCAAAACAGAACTCACTGAGTCATACCACAATGATCAGGAATGAGTTATTCATGGCAAATAAATTATATGAGTTACAACGATTCTCTTTACAGAGAGCTAGCCTTAGTAAATCAAATTTGCGTGACATCCTTAAATAATTTTCCTTTTGGTCAAGATGACAAATGAAAAGTAACGGGAACCAAGTGGGAGAATGCATTAGCACCAATCTAAAGGCAATTGATCCAATAAAGAATAATTGAGAATAATACTGGATACAGGAAGCCGCCCAATAGAAAAACTATTTTCTTAAGCAATGATTTGTTGATCAATGAGAAAAAGACACAAGAAATATTTTTTTGTCAGCAAACAGAAACCCAAGTATTAGTAACTGTATTCTACAACTGTGTCTTTCAGCTAGTCTACCAACAACCTTTAAAGTGTTGCTCAATCGTTTATGTGGAACTTAAAATCTAGTAAGAGTCTGGGCTCCTGGCAAAGCTTGATTGTGATTTAAAAAAGGCAATAGACATAGTATGTACCAGTACAATCAGATTTAATTATACGAGTATAGGGCCTTAATAGCTAGCTTACCTTGAATTCTATTTTCAATTCAAAAACCTGTTAATTACTGTACATATTGGCAAAAGAATACAAAAACATATATTCTGTGAACATGTTACAAGAGCAAAGTTCTCAGGGGTGGGGTTGGACCCTAGAGCCAACCCTTGTACGTATGTAGCATGGTTTTGTGTGTCTCTTCATAGCCAGCAATTGTTTATATGGTTATGAGGTTGGTATTTCTATACTGTTTCCTTGTTAAGACTCAAGGATCAAGTCCTCAGAGACTGAGGGGGACCCAGAGGCCAAATCCTGTTAACATGGATTTCTAAGTTTGAATGTGGTAATATTATATGGTGGGGATCTTAACATAATCCTAAGTAGTAAAGATTTGCACCCGAAGTTCCTCTATTGGGGTCCACTTCTCTTAGACTCTAGGAGTCGCATACACAAAATATTATTATTTTGCCCTAATTATGTTTCAAACCAGACATGGTTATAATTTGTTGTAGCTGTTAGGAGGAGATTTTGAGGCAGAAATACCTTCCTCCTTAATTTGGCACTGGGGGACATACAAACTTCACTTATACAGTCACTCCATTCATTTCTCAGACTAAATATGGTATTCATGCATTCCTAT